GGACATAAATGTAAGATTGTAAATAGCAGAGAAGCTATTCCCAAGTTAAGATTCCCAGTGATATTTTAACGTCTTCTTACTGTCTATAACTTAAGTTTTTATATTTCTTCTGTTTCTGTTGCCTTGCATTCTCAATAATCTGTTTGCAATATACATTCTATGGCAATGAATCTCTCTTCTAAACATCTCTTCTGAACTCATCTTTCAGATCTATCTGTCTGACATCTATCGACCTGTCTTCTCTGTTGAAATATTGCTGTGGTCTGACAAAATACTAATCCACTGATGTTTCAAATAAATATCTTCATAGTCGCAAGTGTAGTAATCTTTCTCATTTGCTGAGACCAAAGTTGTGAGTGATAGGCTATCAAAGAAATATTTCATGTTTTTAACTAGCATCTCCTCCAAACAGTGATCTTTCAGCTCTGATACACAGACTTCCTCCTTTTTTAAGGGTCCAGTTAAGGGAAGAAGGGTCCTTCTGGATTGTGACTCAAGTTCCTTCTGAACAAGATGGATGTCTATCTCTCAGGGAGGCTAGGATAGGAGTTGGCAGGTTGTAACCACCACAGAGCAAGAGCTCCACTGTCTGTAGCTTTGAGAAAGCAGAGCCACAGAAAGGCTGATCTGCAGGAACACCAGGCTCTTTTCTCTAGAAACACTGCCCAACACATCCCTGTGTTGCGTGTGCCTGGCTCCAGCCCATCTCTCCAGGCACAGCATCCTAGCACTTATCTCCTCACACTCGCAGCCCACCTGCTGGCTCCTCCTCACTCACATCCCAGCACTGGCTGGAACATCGTGTCCTTGGCACGAGGATGCTCCCCAGGAGAGCACAGCAGACATCCTCTAGACACCTTGGGCAAACATGAAGTGCCTGCCATATATCCAGTTCCCCTGCTTTTTGCTCCATCCTCCAAGCAGCTGGCAGCAGTTTATCCACCCGAGCAGGACAGCTCTCCCTTGGATGAAGTATTTGGGTGCTCCTGCCAAGACAGGAGGAACATCTGCAGCGAGGAGCTGGGACCACATCTACTTCCCTAACCAGCAAGAGCTGCCAGCAGAGGAGGAAGTTTCTGTGAGTACAAGATTGCTGGCAAAATGCTGATGCATCTGTGCGTTTGAGTCTTTAACCTGCTCGTCTTTCCCTGAACCCGTCCCCTTCTTCCCTCCCTTCCCCTTCCCCCTCCTCCTTCTGCTTCTAGGCATTCCCTTCCCTGTATCTCCACGCCCTTGGAGCTGCCGCCTGCCAGGGCACGTGTGGCAGCGGCAGCACCGCGGGGCTCCGGTGCGTGGGTGCCTCCACTCCATCCCTAGAGCGCAGCCAAGCGCCTGCCCCGGGGAGCCGGCCACAGGACGCGTGAAACTGGGGAGCAGTGAATTGTTTGGTTATTCCGTATCACAGAGATAACAAATAACGAGGAAAACAGTGATTTAAACACACAGGCACACAACCATTAATGACCAGGTGATTAGAGAGACAAGAAGGGGAGCCAGAGCTTGCCAGGCACTGACCGATGGGACATTGAGGGAGCTACTCTGGCTTTGGAGAGGATCTGCCTCAATATTGTTGCTGATAAGATGGAGAAAACATGGTTAGTGTGAAATTAGAGGTGTATTTGAGGAATCTTGGGGGACTGAACAAAACTTGCTACAGGATGTTTCCAGAAATGACCAAAGACACAGGAAGGGAAGGGTCAGGGTGGAACAAGCATGGGAAGATGACAAGGAAGGAGGTTGGAGGGATCATATGTGATAGCAAGCATTTGGGCAGGACAATCACCTGGCTGGGCCCTGATCCATGCAGTCTGGCCTGCCTTCTTATTAAATCCCATCCTTAATTACCTTTGCTGTGTGCCTCCCCTGGAAAAGACTCAAAGTCTGAGCCAGGGCTGGTTGAGGGAGCCAGGAGAGAAGACACTGGATAGGCTTTTCAAGGGATCCATGAGTGTGGAGTGCCTGTGAAGGCAAAGAATATGGAAGAGATTGAGGAGAAAAAGAGCCACAAAAGCAAAACAAGCAGCAAAGATACACTGAGAGATGTAAATACACTGGCAGAACAAAGCATCCATAAAAATCATTATGTTTGTTCAAAGTTACATTGCAGTGATTTTTTGGGTGCCAGCTTGGAACTCTGCTGTCAGCAGACATTCCCTAGTCACCATCCCAAATGCTGTTTGTGAGGGTGCTGTGCTTCAGACTTGAATTAAATGCAAAGTCTCAATTGCAAGAAACAAACTGTTTTTCTGAAGTAATTACAGTTGCCAAGAGGCACTCAGCACAGGCAGGCTACTGAGAAAACAGATCCAATGAATAAGAGAAATTCAGTGGAACTGGAGTACCAGGAGAGAACCTGCAAGGAGCGTAGAACTCCAATTCAGCTGCTTTCAGGCAGCCTTCATTTGTATCAACAATGTGAGGAAAAGCAGCACCACCAGCTCCTGAGTTAGAAAGCTGTTTTTAATGAGTTTGAGGCCAACCATTTTCAACCTTTGAAACAAAGGAACCATGTTTGAAAACCAAAAGGTTGAGGTACAACTGTCTTCAGAGATGGAAAAACAACTGTCCATTCGGGTGCCAAAGTGAAAATCAAAACACTTCTACCATCCTTCTGTGTGGAGCTTTGAGCTGCTGTGACTGCAAAGCAATCAAACAACCATGGTATCACTGACAGAAAATACTGTCCCATAATGATTCAAGTGAAGCCTGAAAAACAGAGCACACCCGCCTGGAACACCCAAGGTTGCACTCTTGCCATTTCACTTGTAGCAGTCAAACACAAAGCCTGAAAAGTAGGCCTTGGAATTTTGTTTTCCCTACTCTTGTGAGCTTCAACAGGCACAGAAAGGATTTATACTTCTTGTACAAAGCTATGAAGGGAATTAGAATTAGACCAAGTAGATCAGGCTTAGGCAGCTGCAAGCTAACAGAGAGCCTTGCCACCAGCCATTCTTTGAGCTGCTGCAAATGGCCATTGAGAGCAGTACAGTATTTCCTGATAAGAGAAATACCAACAGATAAGTACCTGGGAAAGTATTTTTTTTACAGAATTACTTTTCACTAAGACTCAAATGCAAAAATAGCATGTATTTTCATCTCTAGGCAATAAAACTTGAGATGTGCTTTAGCCTTTAAAATTCTGTAGAAGAGTTTGTATAATGATGTCCAGAAATGTATGTTGATAAGTACTGTTGTGTCACCCTTAAATGAAGCACAGCTTCCTCAGATCACTTACTTCTGATATTTCTTCATAACTAAGCTTAAGAGACAAGTGAGCTCACTGTTATCCACCTGCTTAAAACCGAGGTAGGGATATTTCAGTTACAGATGTATCAGATAAGAGAAAGCACAGAGTTCTTTTGACAGCTCTTCTGAGTGAGATACACCAGCACACAGGCAGCAGAGGAAACCTTGTTGAAGCTCAAGTATCAGGTTCACCCTCAGCCAGCACAGCTGAATGCCGAAGCCCAGTCAGGAGGAACTTCGGCAGGCTGGAGGAGTGGTCACACTACCTAAAGTTTAGCATGGACTGGATGTCAAAGGACAATTATAACTGAAACCAACACTGCCAGTACAAAACTTGCTGTTTCGCTAATGAGCTGAAAGAACTCCCAAATTCACCAGAGTCTTGACAAAGGCCATCTCTGTAAACTGGTCTTACTAATTACAAGGCTTGTCTTTCTTTTCCTTCCTGTGAATCTTTTAAATATCACAGTGACATTCAATCTTTTTCACATTGACAATGCTGAAAAATGCAAGTAATATCTAGGTATTTCACTTTCTCAAAGTGAGAAGGATCTGTCAACTCATATAAACTAGAACATGAATTCCCATGCTACTCTTTGAAGTGAAATATCTATGGGCTGCATGAAATGCACATTCATGGTTTTAAAATACAGACAGAAGCATCCAGCAATATTGCAAAAATATTGAGTACTAGTCAGGTAAAATGAGAGAATTCCAGAATAATGTCTTATATATGTTTCAACTTTTAAAAAAATCTTTCTTGTGGAAAAAAATTCCACATTAAATCCTAAAAAGTTACCTGCAGTTTTAATTCCTGTTCTCGAATGCCCAACTATGTCTTTTTTATAGACTGAGAAAATGATTGTACCAAATGTTCTCACTTCTTCTGTGTGTACTTATAGCAATAATTTCTGACAATAAATTTGAGCTGTTTTCATATCCACTGGAATATTTTGTTTTTAGGAATCTATAAAGNAAAAACAAAAACCCCCAAAATTAAAAACAAAGACGACAAAATCAAAATTCAGTGAAGCAGTGACGTATACCCCAGGTGTAACCTAGTGATGTAGCCAAAGGTCTCTGCTGGCATCTCTCAGTTTATGGTAACTTTCCTTGAGTCTCTGCCTTACTACTTTCAGAGTTTTTCTCCTAAACAAGGGTGCTTTAATTTAGAGTTAATGGAGAACCTGAGTGGCACTGGGACCCATGTGGCAGATGCCACCGGGCTACGGGGGTGACACCCACTGGCACTGTGGGGCTGGGGCTGATGTGAGCAGCCTGTATCCAACAGCTCCCCAGACCTTACTGTCATTGCTTGGGACATGGAGAGCCCAACAGGAGGGGGAAAACAACCATGGCCTTTTATGATTTGCAGCCCAGGAGAGAGGTCTGGAGAGGCAGTCAGCAGAGGGAGGCACGGGCTCACAGATCCAGTGCAAACCTCAGCCCGTGGAGTCCTGAGCTGAGCTCTGGAATGCAGGCAAAAGACTTCAAATAGTTCTGAAAAAGTATTTCACTTCACTTTTCCCACATTTATGTTTAGCTCTTGGAGATCAGATGAGAGACTGAGCAAATGAGGAAGCTGAAATATTCTCATTCAAGGATGTATTGTCTGAATTAATTATTATAATCTTCATTCTCTTGTGGATTTTTCAGCATTTGAGTTTTATGAGGATTGTGGATTCTCCCTCTTTTACGTTATCTTACTTAATGTATTGCAGAAGCTTTCCCATCTGCTCCTTCATGCTCCAAAATCTCAGCAGAGAGTCAGTGTTTGACAGATTTAAAGAAAAATTTCCTCAATATTTTTTATTTTTGAGAAAACATATCTTCACAAAGATTAACATTTCATCAATATATGCACGTGTATGCATATATAATGCAAATTTCCCTCCTGGGGTTCTGATAGATGTATAAGCAGTTTACCAACTGCTCCTCTGAGCTGGTGGCAGACATTAAGTGGGGCAGCAGCTGTGGGGCTGCTTCAAAACATCCCTTTGAAGAGCAGAGGACAGAGCTCAGTGTGTCACCGCTGTTTACACACCAGCTGAACAGCAAAACAGCCCTTCACCTGCTGCATCTGCAAGTCAGACATCACCCGTCACCCCACCAAGAGTAGCAGGAACATCACAGAGAAATCTGCATTTGTACTGATCTTCAAATGAAAAAAGCTAGTTTGAATAGCAAAAGGACACAGAACAGCAGTACCACCTCCTGATTTTGCAGGATTTCCATCTTGTCGTTTAAGTTTTCCACTTAAGTGGGATGAACAGAAAAGAAAATTTTCCACCTTTTTGTCCTTCCTTATTATGTGCATATGTTCTCCTTTGGCAGTACCTCGAAATGCAGGATTTTGTGATTCTCTGCAGAGAGGTGAGACGGAAAACCTTAGCCCACAGCAAGCACGCTTTGAGAGGTCATCCCACGAGCAGCGAGGGTCTGTGTGGCTCGTCCATCTTCCCAAGCCACCTCAAGGCTACCTGTCAGCCAAGCACAGCTAGGAGAAAAAGATTTTCTTCACAAAACTCCATGTTCCTGAGGCACATGCTCCATTAAACATTGGCTAGCCAGAGGCTGACTAAAACATCTGCCTGAGATCCAGACTGCTGCCTCTTGTGCTGAAATGTTTCCAGCTGGCACTGCCCCAACCGCAGGCTTTTTTCTTCTCCATGGGCATGTGCAATTCAAAACCTGCAGTGGCTACAGCCTCTGAATTGAAAAGCAAGTCATGCATGCAAATCCTATTTGCACAAGGGAGCTGTTATCTTACTAAAGTTTATGTATTTCACGGAGTCTGAGGGCAGAGGGCTCCAGCCTAGGTGAGAGGTGTGAACTCTCATCTCTGGGTCTTGCACAGCACAAGTCACTGCTTATAGTCAGCTAAGTCTGGGCTGAGACTGATGACAGTGTTTGGAAACAGTGTTTAGTCTTCAGGCAGTAAAATAATGTTCCAGAAACAAAACCTCTGCCTGCTCTGTATCTGTCTTACATCTCTGTATCCTCTTTGTCTGTATCAGACGTGCGTGATCAGTGAAGCACAGTGGAAAATACTTATTAACCTCTATTGAGAGAGTCTTTGTGTAACTACTTCATTAATTTATTCCTCATCAGAGTCTGTTTATCCAGTCTAGTATCGTTCTCTTTTAAGTTCTCTTTTGGTTCATGTTGACCCTCCATCAGTTCTCTGGCACCTCTCCAGTTTTCCAAACTTTGTTAAGATCTAAAATTAGTGAAATGAGAGTACTGAGCTACTGGACTTAAGACTGGAAGTGTACATGACCCCAGACTTCTGAACTGAATGTGTTTGTATTTAGCAGGTGATTTTCACATCCTCCTCAGCTACAGATGGTAAATTATTTCATCTGGTATAGATGGATCCTACTACCTTGCTCTGATATTGTAAAGCAGGAATGTTCATAATGGTGTGATGTTTTTTCCATCCGATGGACATAAATGTAAGATTGTAAATAGCAGAGAAGCTATTCCCAAGTTAAGATTCCCAGTGATATTTTAACGTCTTCTTACTGTCTATAACTTAAGTTTTTATATTTCTTCTGTTTCTGTTGCCTTGCATTCTCAATAATCTGTTTGCAATATACATTCTATGGCAATGAATCTCTCTTCTAAACATCTCTTCTGAACTCATCTTTCAGATCTATCTGTCTGACATCTATCGACCTGTCTTCTCTGTTGAAATATTGCTGTGGTCTGACAAAATACTAATCCACTGATGTTTCAAATAAATATCTTCATAGTCGCAAGTGTAGTAATCTTTCTCATTTGCTGAGACCAAAGTTGTGAGTGATAGGCTATCAAAGAAATATTTCATGTTTTTAACTAGCATCTCCTCCAAACAGTGATCTTTCAGCTCTGATACACAGACTTCCTCCTTTTTTAAGGGTCCAGTTAAGGGAAGAAGGGTCCTTCTGGATTGTGACTCAAGTTCCTTCTGAACAAGATGGATGTCTATCTCTCAGGGAGGCTAGGATAGGAGTTGGCAGGTTGTAACCACCACAGAGCAAGAGCTCCACTGTCTGTAGCTTTGAGAAAGCAGAGCCACAGAAAGGCTGATCTGCAGGAACACCAGGCTCTTTTCTCTAGAAACACTGCCCAACACATCCCTGTGTTGCGTGTGCCTGGCTCCAGCCCATCTCTCCAGGCACAGCATCCTAGCACTTATCTCCTCACACTCGCAGCCCACCTGCTGGCTCCTCCTCACTCACATCCCAGCACTGGCTGGAACATCGTGTCCTTGGCACGAGGATGCTCCCCAGGAGAGCACAGCAGACATCCTCTAGACACCTTGGGCAAACATGAAGTGCCTGCCATATATCCAGTTCCCCTGCTTTTTGCTCCATCCTCCAAGCAGCTGGCAGCAGTTTATCCACCCGAGCAGGACAGCTCTCCCTTGGATGAAGTATTTGGGTGCTCCTGCCAAGACAGGAGGAACATCTGCAGCGAGGAGCTGGGACCACATCTACTTCCCTAACCAGCAAGAGCTGCCAGCAGAGGAGGAAGTTTCTGTGAGTACAAGATTGCTGGCAAAATGCTGATGCATCTGTGCGTTTGAGTCTTTAACCTGCTCGTCTTTCCCTGAACCCGTCCCCTTCTTCCCTCCCTTCCCCTTCCCCCTCCTCCTTCTGCTTCTAGGCATTCCCTTCCCTGTATCTCCACGCCCTTGGAGCTGCCGCCTGCCAGGGCACGTGTAGCAGCGGCAGCACCGCGGGGCTCCGGTGCGTGGGTGCCTCCACTCCATCCCTAGAGCGCAGCCAAGCGCCTGCCCCGGGGAGCCGGCCACAGGACGCGTGAAACTGGGGAGCAGTGAATTGTTTGGTTATTCCGTATCACAGAGATAACAAATAACGAGGAAAACAGTGATTTAAACACACAGGCACACAACCATTAATGACCAGGTGATTAGAGAGACAAGAAGGGGAGCCAGAGCTTGCCAGGCACTGACCGATGGGACATTGAGGGAGCTACTCTGGCTTTGGAGAGGATCTGCCTCAATATTGTTGCTGATAAGATGGAGAAAACATGGTTAGTGTGAAATTAGAGGTGTATTTGAGGAATCTTGGGGGACTGAACAAAACTTGCTACAGGATGTTTCCAGAAATGACCAAAGACACAGGAAGGGAAGGGTCAGGGTGGAACAAGCATGGGAAGATGACAAGGAAGGAGGTTGGAGGGATCATATGTGATAGCAAGCATTTGGGCAGGACAATCACCTGGCTGGGCCCTGATCCATGCAGTCTGGCCTGCCTTCTTATTAAATCCCATCCTTAATTACCTTTGCTGTGTGCCTCCCCTGGAAAAGACTCAAAGTCTGAGCCAGGGCTGGTTGAGGGAGCCAGGAGAGAGGACACTGGATAGGCTTTTCAAGGGATCCATGAGTGTGGAGTGCCTGTGAAGGCAAAGAATATGGAAGAGATTGAGGAGAAAAAGAGCCACAAAAGCAAAACAAGCAGCAAAGATACACTGAGAGATGTAAATACACTGGCAGAACAAAGCATCCATAAAAATCATTATGTTTGTTCAAAGTTACATTGCAGTGATTTTTTGGGTGCCAGCTTGGAACTCTGCTGTCAGCAGACATTCCCTAGTCACCATCCCAAATGCTGTTTGTGAGGGTGCTGTGCTTCAGACTTGAATTAAATGCAAAGTCTCAATTGCAAGAAACAAACTGTTTTTCTGAAGTAATTACAGTTGCCAAGAGGCGCTCAGCACAGGCAGGCTACTGAGAAAACAGATCCAATGAATAAGATAAATTCAGTGGAACTGGAGTACCAGGAGAGAACCTGCAAGGAGCGTAGAACTCCAATTCAGCTGCTTTCAGGCAGCCTTCATTTGTATCAACAATGTGAGGAAAAGCAGCACCACCAGCTCCTGAGTTAGAAAGCTGTTTTTAATGAGTTTGAGGCCAACTATTTTCAACCTTTGAAACAAAGGAACCATGTTTGAAAACCAAAAGGTTGAGGTACAACTGTCTTCAGAGATGGAAAAACAACTGTCCATTCGGGTGCCAAAGTGAAAATCAAAACACTTCTACCATCCTTCTGTGTGGAGCTTTGAGCTGCTATGACTGCAAAGCAATCAAACAACCATGGTATCACTGACAGAAAATACTGTCCCATAATGATTCAAGTGAAGCCTGAAAAACAGAGCACACCAGCCTGGAACACCCAAGGTTGCACTCTTGCCATTTCACTTGTAGCAGTCAAACACAAAGCCTGAAAAGTAGGCCTTGGAATTTTGTTTTCCCTACTCTTGTGAGCTTCAACAGGCACAGAAAGGATTTATACTTCTTGTACAAAGCTATGAAGGGAATTAGAATTAGACCAAGTAGATCAGGCTTAGGCAGCTGCAAGCTAACAGAGAGCCTTGCCACCAGCCATTCTTTGAGCTGCTGCAAATGGCCATTGAGAGCAGTACAGTATTTCCTGATAAGAGAAATACCAACAGATAAGTACCTGGGAAAGTATTTTTTTTACAGAATTACTTTTCACTAAGACTCAAATGCAAAAATAGCATGTATTTTCATCTCTAGGCAATAAAACTTGAGATATGTGCTTTAGCCTTTAAAATTCTGTAGAAGAGTTTGTATAATGATGTCCAGAAATGTATGTTGATAAGTACTGTTGTGTCACCCTTAAATGAAGCACAGCTTCCTCAGATCACTTACTTCTGATATTTCTTCATAACTAAGCTTAAGAGACAAGTGAGCTCACTGTTATCCACCTGCTTAAAACCGAGATAGGGATATTTCAGTTACAGATGTATCAGATAAGAGAAAGCACAGAGTTCTTTTGACAGCTCTTCTGAGTGAGATACACCAGCACACAGGCAGCAGAGGAAACCTTGTTGAAGCTCAAGTATCAGGTTCACCCTCAGCCAGCACAGCTGAATGCCGAAGCCCAGTCAGGAGGAACTTCGGCAGGCTGGAGGAGTGGTCACACTACCTAAAGTTTAGCATGGACTGGATGTCAAAGGACAATTATAACTGAAACCAACACTGCCAGTACAAAACTTGCTGTTTCGCTAATGAGCTGAAAGAACTCCCAAATTCACCAGAGTCTTGACAAAGGCCATCTCTGTAAACTGGTCTTACTAATTACAAGGCTTGTCTTTCTTTTCCTTCCTGTGAATCTTTTAAATATCACAGTGACATTCAATCTTTTTCACATTGACAATGCTGAAAAATGCAAGTAATATCTAGGTATTTCACTTTCTCAAAGTGAGAAGGATCTGTCAACTCATATAAACTAGAACATGAATTCCCATGCTACTCTTTGAAGTGAAATATCTATGGGCTGCATGAAATGCACATTCATGGTTTTAAAATACAGACAGAAGCATCCAGCAATATTGCAAAAATATTGAGTACTAGTCAGGTAAAATGAGAGAATTCCAGAATAATGTCTTATATATGTTTCAACTTTTAAAAAAATCTTTCTTGAGGAAAAAAATTCCACATTAAATCCTAAAAAGTTACCTGCAGTTTTAATTCCTGTTCTCGAATGCCCAACTATGTCTTTTTTATAGACTGAGAAAATGATTGTACCAAATGTTCTCACTTCTTCTGTGTGTACTTATAGCAATATTTTGTGAAATTCTTTAAAGGCTGTTTTCATATCCACTGGAATATTTTGTTTTTAGGAATCTATAAAGCTAACAAAGTGAGATCCACTAAATTGAAGTGACAAAATAGATGGGTTATCTCGTAATTGTTCTGTTCCCACTATTTAACTGCACAGTATGCAAAAAGTCCTGTCTTTAAAAAGTACATTCAGAGCACTCCAAGCATAATGAAAGGCTGAAGTGACATTCATTGTAGCAATGCTTTATTTCTCTACTTTGCAGTAACTCTCTCTTCATATGCCATTAAAACCTTCTGGGAATATAAATTTTATAGTTGCTTCAGAGTATCTTTCAGTCATTTCTCTAACACAGCTCATACAAATTTAAGCTAAAACTTTCCAAGTAGTCTAAATAAGATCATCACCAGTCATTTACAATGAGGTTTTTTAAATATTGCACCCATACTACTTATTTTGACTAGGAGCTGTAAATCCTCTATTTCTCATCTTGAGTCTGCCTCCATCTTAGGCTCAAATAAATTAAGAATATCCATAAGATAGGTGGTCAAATGTACACTGCTAGTTCATGCCTAAAACTAAGTTTAGATATCCTTGGTCAACAGCCTAGAGATATTAACAACAAGAAAACTAGAAATATTAATAATAATTTTTTTGTAACTACCACAAACACACCTACTGGTTTACATTACAATCTGTTCTACTGGTCAATTATCAAGAGTTTTGGCATCTCAAAGTGTTTTAATTAAATCCCCTCATGAGTGAAGGTAAGTATAGTCCCTCATCTTCATTGAGTGTCTCAGTAGCCCAGGTATGGACAGCTGCTACAGAGCTGATGTCACAGCAGCACATTCAAAGAAAATGTTACATAGCTGCACTTAAAAGAAAATAACTGTGCCTTCAAGAGCTTCTCTCAATTCAGAACAAAGGCTGTCCAAATGACAGGATCAGGTGTGGATGTTGATAATGTGACATTTGAAGTTAGACGAGATAAATTCTGCCCAGAAATCCCACATATCATCTGTGTATGTCACTATCCCCTAAATATTACTGAGTGTGGACTTCATGTTCTCCCTGGAGTTTTATATTCCATGTTCCCAACACCTGTGAATCCACAATTCACCCCCACAAGAAGGCATATGCTACTAAGTCAATTAATACTTCCTCTTTGAGTAATTAATACTGGCACCTGACAAAAATACTTTGGGGATAGACAGAAAGACATTTCTGTTGTGACTCTTTCTATCACAATAACCAGTCTATATCTGCAGCTCAGCACTGGCCATTGTTACTTGATTGTTCAGCATCCTGCACTTAAATTCTTTGCTTGTTTTTCTTGCTCTGCTGCAAAGAAATTTTAGTCAGTGCTCTGGCCTCATTTTGGCCCTTTGGAGTCTCATAACCCTTAGCTACACCAAGAGACTGTGGCTGACATTAACCAGTGTCAACAAGATTATATTGTTTGGAATAAAGACTGATGCCTGTACTTACAATGGATGTTATACAGTTAACTGAAATATATGATGCCCATTTACCAGCTTTTTAGATCTGTGTCAAAGCATTTGTAACCAGGAAAATGAGGAATAATAAGACTTCTGGTTATAGGAAAGAAAAAGTGAAGTTTCTATCTCTATAGTTCAGGCTTCTCTGCATTTCCAGCACTCCCCTTTCTATCTAAGCATGACATGGATACTTAAGATAACAGATTACACAATTCATTTACTTACAGGTTTTAAGAAACAACTTATAAAAACAAACCAACCAGAACAGCAACAACACTAATACACATAAACTTTCACTTTACGGACATCTTTGTCTTCACATTCTCTTTGCCTATTGTAATAATAGAATGTATTGTCCCTTCTCTGAAGTTTCTTAACAAATCCAGTTTCTGGCCAGCATTCTACCTACAAGTAGAACAAAAAGGATATAAAATCACCTGAACATGCTCACATTAAATGATATTTGTGCATGACATTGCAAGGAATATAGAGTATACTTCCATAGGAAACCCTCATTTGCATCTAAATACTATATTTTCTATTAACTTGCTGAACTTTTAAAAACAGATGGAGAACAATATGACAGAAACCAGTTTTCAGGGTTTTTTTGTGATATGAAAAGCCTAGAAATAGGAATCTAAGGATATTGAACAGGTTAATTTAAAACTGGATTAGTCAAAGTTTTTAAAACATCTTGTTTAGGAATATAACGTTGATGCTATTCAGTTATTCAGTAATCTGAGAGGCTGCAAGAGTCTGCTTCTGTAAGACAACATACACTAAACGTTTCTTTCAGATCCTTTTGACCAAGAAAAATGTGCTTTTTATTCGAAATTTCATGAAAATAAAGTAAGCTGCAGACTGTATCATTCTCAAAGTGGGACCAGTCCCACATAAACCCAGTATCACCCTGGTGCTCTTCACTGTTCCACAGTGTAAAGCTTAAAATTAAAGGCTTCAGCATTTGCACATTCAACAGCTTTATAGCTTTAGTAGCTCTTTCAGCTTGACCGTCTATGACTGCTTCTGATTAAACTGATCCTTAAAAATCAGTTGATAAGCATCTTATTTCTCTTCCAGGCAGAGCTGACAATAGGATGTCAGACTAGAGCATTCTCTAATTGGAGAGCCCCAGAAGTGGTTTCACCACCTACCTGATGACTTCAGGCATACAGCTGTGTTATTTGCATTGTCTGTCTACACATAACAGCCTTAAGATTCATTCCACCTACATTATAATTGCATTTAGTAACAACTGTATTATAGAAACCTAATATGGATTAACAAGACATTTTGGAATATGTAAGTTAAAAGAGAATCACTGCCAGGCCCTAGCAGGCTGGAACAGAACGCACACTCACATTACAATGAGTCAGTGGTATTCTTTACCTTTCATCAGGGTTTAACTACCAGTGGTTGTGCCCTGCCATAAATCTTAAATACATAGATAATTATAATTAATTACCCTACCACAATAATTATGTGATTTCCTTCTGCAGTTACTGAAAATTATACCACAGCCTTTGCAGTGGTATCAGAGCCCAATATAAAATAATGAATGGTATCTTATTATGCTCATCAACATGTTTTGCTGTGTTTTGAGTTAACTGGATGTGGAGTGAGTTTCTTGGAACTTTCTGTGGTTTCTTATGTGCATAGGAGGTCAACATCTTTTAAAAGTGTGCTCTTCATACTGCATTTGCTGCTTTGGAAGATAAATTACAGAGCTGTAATAAAAATTATATATTGTTTGTTGTATTAACCTGTTGGTTGCTATTTTGAATCTTAACTAGCCACTGATATTTGGCCACTACTCAATAGCTCATTTGATGTGCTGGGGAACATCAGCACCAACTGTAGTGAGCAGAGGCACAAGTCCTTGGTGTTGACAAGAGCCTGTGTCACAACTGCCTTTAGCACAGCTGGCATCAAATATTTCCATTGTGGATATTATTTTGATAGAGGCCAAATTCTGAGTGTCCACAAAGCCTGACTGTGCTAGCACACAATCCAGCTGCAAACTGAAGCAGTAGCATGGACTGACTCCATGGACAATCTATGAGTTTCCTATAGCCTATTGACTAATGGGGAAGCTTCAGAGAACTCACTCTGAAATATTTCTTCCCTCAATACTGAATTATTCCTTCGGAGCTACATCTGTTTAAAGAGATCTGTGATGCTTCTAAATGCATCAGAGAGGAGGAACAAAATACACGCTGGATAGTGTTTCTGTTTCACTTCTGTGAAATGAGTTATTCTACACAGTTCTAAATCTTACCTTATCAACTTGTTTTACTTGTTTGTATTCCACCTCATCTCTGTATCCAGCTTGCTGAAATCTGTATAAGTTCTCTACATCATCTGACCATATTTTGGCACGATGCATAGATTTTGGTTTGATGTCAGCTTTAGTCGTGACTTCGGACACTTCAGACATCTTCCTGAAATGAGACTTAAAAAAATTAAACAGAGAAGACAGAAGCAAGTGATTTTATCGGGGGCATAGAGTAATGGATAGAACAAAATTTTAAAAGAAAGGCATTACAGAGTTCAAAATCTGAGGTTAAAAAAGGAAAGCTATAAGCAGTTGGAATCAAATTAAATGCACTACTTGGTCTCAAGCAAACCCAACTCATATGTACTTCCACATCTTGACTGAACCTTTCTAAAATTTAATGCATATTGATGCATTAAATAATATTAAATGCAATATTTTTGAATTTCACGTGTTTGCAGTTGCTGTCCCCTTGGGGCAGGCAGGCAGATGACCAGATTTTTCTTTCTTGCTCCTGAAGTGACACCAAACTGGGAAGCACAGAATGAAGATCTGGGCTGTTACTGAAAAACAGCAAACACTCAGGATGGGAAAGGAGGGGAAAGGAGAAATGCACACTCAGTGACACGGCCACTGTGCCAATGACAGAGATAAGGTCTTCAGAGATAAACTGGATAAGGAGACAAGGCACACAACATGCCAGAATTCAACCCTTTCTACCTTTGCCCAATCAAACTGACTGCCACTGACTTCCTCCTCACACAAAACCCATTTGCTCAGTCTGCTGAGACATAGCAAACAGGTTAATCAGCTGCTAAATCTGAAAAGATCAGAACCGGGACAAGCTGAAACTCAAACTGGAACGAAAATTAATTAAATAGATAAATGAAAAAAACCCAAACAAACTAAAAACAACAGCAACAAAAAACCAAGAAAAAAATTGCAGACAGTGGATACTCACCAGGGATGGATTTGAACTACATTAAAAAAAAATCATTTGACTTTTGCCTTATGTATGAATTTTATTGCATTTGCTTTCCTAAGCATACCTTATTTTGCTACTCAAATAGAACTTCTGCAAGCAAAACACACAAATCACTATCATGCCTAGCAGGTATGATCAGAGATGAGTCCTTTCCCAGTTTTGAAATGTCACCAAGCTTCAGCTTCATAATTAGGAAAGTATCTCCAAGGAATGAAAGCTGCTGGATTTTGCAGTGAGAGGATTAATAGAGTCTCCTTCCCTGTGGATAGGATGCTGCCTCCAAACACTGCCCAATTTCTTTACTTTGCAAGTTCCTACATCAATAGAGAGCTTTAAAAGTTGAATGTTGAAATCTTATGAAATGCAAAATGTCACTACTTTTTTAAAATACCAGAAACTGGAAAAAAATTCTTGCACCACAGGATAAAAATCTTTGGGAAAATTATATCAAGAATTATTGTTATCACAATGTGGAACTAGCACAAAGAAGTCTGCACACCTGTCATCTGAGACATCATGAGAGCCTTCAGGAGACAAAGAAAGGGCCTTTCATCTCTTACCAAATTTTATTAGAGATCAGTAAAAATATGTAAAAGGGCATTTTTCTAGCAACACTAAACCATTTCTTGCAGTTCAGTACTCCAAACATTCTTTTGCCAGGCACTGCAGCATATTGCAATTGAAAGCAGCCATTTACTGAAATAAAAAAAGTAATTTTCCCACCTGGTTATGAGGTATCAAATACAAATTAACAGGATAAGCACAGATAGCTATATCAAAGACTACCCTAAATTTAGAATAAGTATCTCAACATAAGTATTTTTTTCGCCTGTGCTGCAAAGGGCTCTTTTGTAGCCAACACAGGATTTTTTAAGCTCTGTATTTGTTCATCAGTGTACTGTTGTCAGTCAATATTGACTTTAGACAGTCAATAAGATTAGCAATAACCTTAGATTTTAATAAATGCTAAGCTGTGGTGAAATTAAGTGTCTTGTCATAACTTACGTGTCATTAGTGTTAAGTACTTCTTTACAGGACGTGCTGGATTCACCTAATGAATGTTCTTCCTCGAGACATGTGGGCAGGTCTGGCACTTTGTGAGTCACCATTGATTCACAGTGCCTGTCCACAGGCGTTCCTGCCCAAAAAATAAAGATCATATATTGAAAGTTCCAGCTTAGTGACTTCGTATAATGAAAGCATCCCATTTGGGGGCGGTTATTTAAAAATTGTACTCTTTGTCTATTGTGTGCCCAAGCTCCAGGCACAGAGCTGTTTTCATTGTACCAGAGCAGGGGACAGCTGTACTCCAGCCAGGAATTCAGAGAAGAGATGAAAGACAACAGACAGATAAAGGCAAATACAGAAGGCAAGAGAATGGTAAGAAAATATTCAGTTTAATATAAATGCTTTTCATTTAAGGGGAATTTTTGAACAGTGAAGTGGACTTTGCTAAGATGATAATGTTTGTCTGCTCCCAATTTAGGGTAAACAGTGAGTACTTTGGCCTTGGGAACACATTTCTTTAATGTAAATAACACAATTACTGTGGAATCCTAACTAGCCTGGGCTCGAAAATGGTGGTTTCTTGAACAGTTACACAAGCTGTGAGGGTTTGTGTGAGAAGAGTGTCTGCTCCCTTGGGGCATCTGCTCAAGGACCAGTTTCACTGCAACACAGGGCTGCAGGAAAGGGCAGAAGCCATAAAACAAGATATGGGGACTCAAACCTCAGCAGCAAATGAGGAAAGTGATGATGAGAACCATACCTGACCAGCCATGGGACATGTGAAGAGTGTGAGAATGTTCATTCCAGCAAGGTCAGGGACCTTGTCAATTGGGAAATTTGGGAAAAGAGGGGAAAGAAACAGAACATGCAGACACAAGGACCTGACAAAACAAATACTGATAAACAAACCTCAACTCTAGCACTAATTGATGGGCTATCAAGAAACTACAGGAATGACATCCAGGGAGATCAACCTGGACTTTGCACTGGTAAGACTTAACCAGGGGGACCTAAACTTGGAAAGGTGTGGGAATTCATGGAACTGTAGAGATCAGTGAAGAATGTGCAGGAGCAGCGAGAAACAAAGATAGGAATAGACAGAAAGGAATATAAAATAAGCCTGTCCTATGTAAATCAGGGCTGGTCAGTATTACATGTCCAGCTAAGCCCCACACCTGATCATCACAGAGTGTCCTACCCTATTGTATCTTCTTAAATCTCAACTGTCTCTCTGCACAAACTCTGTATTCCACATGTATGTGTGCTGCAAGGACAAAGTGCCAGCTCCTAGTGAGACCTGTGTATAAGTGAACACTGGTGCCAGCTCCTGGAGTAGGCTGGGGGTATGAGCACTTCTGGCCTGTAGGTGGGGGTATTAAATTTTCAGCCACTGGAGCAGGAATAAGACGTGTATTGAAAAATGAGCTGCCGGGGGAGGGCTGTCATGAGTGAGGGGCTCCATGTCAGCAGGTGGAGCAGGACTGTGGGTCACAGCCTGTGTGCCTGGTGCTGGCAGGATGGTGTCTGCACCTTCACCCACTTTGGTAAACCTAGGGTGCACACCCAAATTCACCAGCAAACTTGAAGCTGAAGAATAGGGCCAGGTCCAGGCCAGAGTATCAAGCGGGACAGGGGCCCCGCTGCATCCTCAGCCCGGACAAGGAGCTCCATGTCCCCAGGCAGGAGTGGCCCTGGGGCAGAGCAGCGGGAGGAGATGGCTGTACCTCCTACATCACTTAACCCAAGTTAGCAAACACAGTGCTTGAGGTGTCAGAAGAGCCAATAAGAGATTTCATAGGATGTCAAAGAAAGGACCTTAAAGATCATCACGTTCCAACCCCCTGCCATGAGCAGGGACAGCTTCCATTAGATCAGGTTGGTCAAAGCCCCATCCAACCTGGCCTTGAACTGTCCCAAGGCTGGGGCAGCACAGCCTCACTGGGAAACCTGTCCCAGTGCCTCATCTCCCGCACTGTAAAAAAATTCTTCCTAATATCTAATCTAAGCTCCCCTCTTTCCAGTGGCCTCTACCTACTCTGCCCGACAGCTCTTTGTACATTCCGAGATGCTCAGGCAGACATCCCGGCCTGCATCCGTAACTGCGCTGCGACCGTAATTTCACCCTGCTCCCCCCGCCATGGCCACAATCCGCCCATCCAGCCCTTAAGGCGGCCCACCTCGGCTCAAGATACGCAAAACGGGGACTCTTCTCACACGGGGCGGAGCGGCAGCCGAGGCGCGATGGCGGCGGTGCCCCTCGCGGCCTTCCCCCTCTCCCACCCCCTCCCGGCTGTCCCCTCACGGCTGTCCCCTCACCACGCCAACCGTCACCAGGCAACCGCCCGCCATGGCCCCTTTAAAAGGCCGTGCCCGCCCCTGATAGGCCGGCGCGGGGCGGGGTCGCCTCGGGATTGGCTGGGGGCCGGGCAGGCGGAAGCGCGCGGAAACGCACGCCGCCCGCCATGAGCCGGTTCGGGGGCCGCACGCGCGAGTACCCGGCCGTGTCCATCGACCGCTTCGACCATGACAACCTGCGCGCGCGCGCCTTCTTCCTGTCGCACTGCCACAAGGGTGAGGGCCCGCCAGGGTCCCCTGTGTGTCCGTCCCCACCCCCCGTGTGTCCCACCCCTGCGCCATCCCCGCCCCATCCCCGCCCCGCGTGTCCCCCGACTGACCCCGTGGCTCTCTCCCCAGATCACATGAAGGGGCTGCGGGCGACCGCCCTGAAGAGGAGGCTGGAGGGCAGGTACGGGCTGGTGGCGGGGCGGCCTCAGGGGAGGCGGCTGGGGCGCGGCAAAGCGTGAGCAAAGCAGCGCGAGGAAGTGCCATGGGTCACAAGTGCCCGCAATGGGACAGGGACATCTCCCACCAGACCAAGTTGCTCCAAGGCCCTTTCCTACCTGGCCTCGAACTCTTTCAGAGGTGGGGCATCCACAACTTCTTTGGGCTATTTGTTCCAGTGCCTCACCAGCCTCACTCATTTTAAAAATCTTCCTTGCATCTCATCTAGACCTGCCCCCTTATAATTTGAAGTCAGCCCCCCTTGTCCACACCATGTCCTCGTAGAAAGTCCCTGTCTAGAATTCTTAAAAGCCCTCTCTAAGTATCAAATGGTAGCAGTAATGTCCCCCAGAATTTTCTCTTCTCTAGGCTGAAGAACCCCAGCCATCTCAGCCTGCCTTCATAGCAGAGGTGCTCCAGCCCTCTGACCATCCTGGTGGCCTCCTCTGGATTTGCTCCAACAGGTCCTTGTCCTTCCTGTCCTGGGGTCCCCAGAGCTGGATGCAGCACTGCAGGTGGGGTCCACAGGAGCAGAGGGGCAGAATCCCCTGCCTTGTCCTGCTGCCCACTGTGCTGGGATGCTGCCCGGGATAAGATTGGCTTTCTGTACTGCAAACGCACACTGCTGGCTCATGTCCAGTACCTCGAAGTCTCCTACAGGGCTGCTATTAACCCATTTATCCCTCCGTCTGTTTTGATACCAGGGGTTGCCCAGACTCAGGTGCACTTGGCCTTGTTGAACTCCATGACGTTCGTGAGGATCTCTCTGTTATTCCCTGGAAGTGTTGGTACACAGAGCCTGTGCAGTGAATTGGGCCAGCTGTGCTCTCTGAAGTGTATAAGCCAGCAGGTAGCCAGCAGTTTGAGGGAGATAATTGTTCCCCTCTGGCCAGCATCTGTGAGACTTTTCTGGGCTACTGTGTCCAGCCCTAGGCTCCCCTGGATGATAAATTGATAGGTGTTTTGGTCAGCATCATGCTGGTCTGGGGCCAGGACCATGTGTTGTGTGAGGAGAGGCTGAGAGAGCTGGATGTCTTCAGTCTTAGGAAGAGGAGACAATCATGTATCACTGTTTGCAGGTAGGGGTAGAGGAGATGGAGCCAGACTTCATAGAAGTGCATAAAGAAAGGGCAAGGAACACCTTTTTCACCATGAGGATGATCAAATGCGGCATTGGGCCCAGGGAGGTTGTGGACCAGTTCCTAGGCCTTCTTTGATTTATTAGAGTAAATATTGCATTTCCACTGATACAAGCAGAGAATCTGTCTTTGCTTGTGCATAAGCTCAAGCTTCATAAGGAGTATTCTGTGTTCTGCTGTGTGCTGACTGTTCCAGGGGTGTGTGCAGGGGAATAGAAACAAGCAGATAGGTCACACCCATGTACCACATGCTGCATTTGTGTCTGCACAAAGCCATGCTGCTAGGGGCACACAGGGGTAGGTTTGGGTTTGCTGTGCTGAAGAGAAGCCTGCAGGCTTCCAGCTCTGCAGGTGTCCTCACAGGAGAGGTTTCTGACTGCAGGGTTTGATGTACTGGGTGCCAGGTGCTGATGTGTCATTAGATTGTTCTTCATATCTACTTTAAAATACACTTATCTGTATTTTTTGTCTCCTCACAGCTTGAAAGTTAAACTATACTGCTCACCAGTAACTAAGGAATTGTTGTTGACTAACTGGAAATACAAGTTTTGGGAGAATCATATTGTGAGTTTGTGTTTATTTTGAAAATAGCACTTTCCAAGCAACTCCCTGCTCCCCAGGAGAGTCTAAATATTGGTGTTGATACAGTGTTTCAGGGCTTAAGTACTTCCAACAATGTGCCTTTCCTGCTGCTTGCTATGTGGGATTGGCTTGTTGCTTGTTGTTTAATTATTTTCCTCCCACAATTTTTTTCTTTTCCCTCAACTTCATCTTTACATGGCCTTCATCTTTACATAGATAATTTGTATTCATTTCCTTACCTTGCTTATGTCTCTTTGCTTCTGTCCTTTATTTCTCTTTTGTTTCATTTAAAGGCTCTTACTGCTTGGAGTAGATATAATCTGAAGTTACATGGTTTTCCTTTTGCTTTTTGGAAAATGGACTATAACATGAAGAAGTTTTAGTATAAAATCACTGAAAAACTTAATAAATTTACATGATTTCCAGTGTTTGGAGCCAGACTGCAAGGGATCAGTGTTATGTACAGGTGTGACTTGAAGTCATTTCCTTCCCTTTGCAGATGCAGGCATTATGAAATTGAACATGAGGTTTTTTACAGAAATAAAAATAATTATCTCTGCACAAACACAGGAATACATGCTCCCAGTGATTTGTGGGCTCTCTTTCTGGTAATAGGGGGCAGTGGAAAGTGCTGCAGCACAGAGCTGTCTTAGCAAGATCCACTGCTGTGGGACTGGGATTGGGCTTTGCAGTTATCCAAAAATAAGGCATGTGATGCATCCAGAGGAACAAGAGCTGTTGCTGATAGAAATCCAACATGCTGTAACTTTTTTAGGCATGCACACCTTGGTTGAGGTATCTCCATTTAATTTTTAGATAATTTGTAGGAAAATTTATTCCACTGGAAATGGAAATTTATGACTTACTGTGGGAAAATGAGTTTAATTTTACAGGCTTAGCATTAGCCACAGTGAGTGCTAGAGATGTCTACATAATGAATACTGATGAATGAGACATAAACATGAAGCAGAATGTTCAGTAAATCCTATAATGCAATTAATCATATTCTTACAGGTTGCATTGGAAGTTGAAACTCCAACTCAGATTTCTTTAGAAGATGAAACATCTGGTGAGGTAAGTTACAGAAAAAAAATTCATATGTTAGTCATGGGCACTAATGCTGTTTACATGAGCACAGGAAACACAGCTGCAGCATCCAAAGTGCACAAGCTATTTTTAAAATGTATATGCCCCCTCCTCTCCTGTAGTAACAGAAAAGGGGTGATAGTTTTAAACGAAAAATGGTTGATTCAGGCTAGATATAGGGAAGAAGCATTTTACAATGAGGATGCTTAAAGACTGGAACAGGTTGCCCAGAGAGGTGGTGAATACCCCATCCCTGGAAATATTCAAGATCAGGATGAAGCTCTGAGCAATCTGATCCAGTTGAAGATGTCCTTGCATATTGCAGGGGAGTTGGACTGAATTTTAAAAGTCTCTTCCAACTCACACTATTTTGTGATTCTGTACTTGTTCACCAGGAATCAAGGAAGTAGAACTGTCTTCTGTCCAACTTGCTTTATAAGCACCAAACAATACTTGGTCCTCTCTTCTGCCATGACAAGGTGGTGGTTGCTCTTTAGTGCTTGTTACAGTGTGAAGGGACTCTCTGGCTTTAAAAGCAATGCTAAGTGCTGCAGGAGACTGTGGGGAGTAATACGTTGGTCTCACTGTGCTAATAAAAGTACTGGTGGTACTTCAGTGTGAAAATAATACCAACTCCTCTCTTCCAGAAAGAAGATGTAGTGGTGACACTTCTGCCAGCTGGTCACTGTCCAGGTTCAGTCATGTACGTCCCTTCAATACTTTAAATGTTTCACCACCTGGTGTTTAATGTGGAGTTTGACCCGAGTGTTGCTGTCTGCAGGTTTCTGTTTGAAGGTGAGAATGGCACTGTGTTGTACACAGGGGATTTCAGGCTTGCAAAAGGAGAAGCAGCCAGAATGGAGCTTTTGCATTCAGGGACCAGGTGAGCTATTTGTAGTCCATAGAAGGAACATAAGATCATATGGCATGGACAGTTTTGCTAGGTATTTTTTTTCCTCATTTTTTAATTCTGGATTAAATATAATTGCAATGCTGCAGTTATAAGCCCCCTTTGACGTATTCTTTGTAATCAGGAGGTGGAATTACCTCCTTTTGAAGAGAGAGGAAGTGGTGTATCTTAGCACTGTGATGCAATGTTTACAATGATATCACATTTCTATCCTCCAGGGTAAAAGACATCCAGAGTGTGTATTTGGACACTACTTTTTGTGATCCCAAATTTTATCACATACCAAGCCGGGTAAGTCTAATAAATTGTCAGAAGAAAGGCCCTTAAAACAATTAATTAAATACTTTTTTGTTAGGTAAATCTTGCAAGGCAATAACATTTTGCTTTGCTAAATCCCAGCACTTTGGAAATACCTTCCAAGATGATTGACAGCATTTTCTACACTTTACAGGAGGAATGTTTAAATGGGATCTTGGAGTTAGTGCGAAGCTGGACCTCACTGTCTCGTAATCATGTTGTGTGGCTGAATTGCAAAGCTGCTTATGGATATGAATATTTATTCATAAACCTCAGTGAGGAACTTGGAATCAAGGTAATGTTTCTCTAATTGTTGCTTTGGAACAGATCCTCACTAATGACTGGGCCAACACTGAGCTGCCAATGGCTGTTCACAGGGCCGCTCTAGGTCACAATTATGCCTGTTTCACTAACTTCCCTTAAAAAGTGCCGTTGTGCTCAAAATGAGGTAACTAGTTGACTTCAGTCTGGAACATCTAGACTTTCCAAAGAGAAGTTAATTACCAGTTTTCATGCTCATTGTTTACCTCACTCTCTTTTATTTTGTGAATGATGAAACTCATTTGCATATAGCATTAATAGTATATATTCTGATTTTCTCATGAGTATTCATCTTTCTTCAGTATAGGTGGTATGTTCTACTTTTTTTAAATGTCTAAGTTTTGGCTGACACATCTCTGCTTGGACATTATTTGGAGTAATAATTTAAATGCCTGACAGCATTTGGGGAGAACAGAATCACATCTATATAGCTGCTCCAGCTGCAGTCTGGAAAAGACATTGAGCTAATAAAGAGTAAACTCTGGCTTTCTCTAGGTGCACATGAACAAACTTGATATGTTCAGGAACATGCCAGAAATCCTGTGCCATGTTACCACAGACCAACACACGCAGATTCACGCCTGTCGACATCCTCGGGTGCGTTTGTTCTGCAAAACCTCCCCTAACCTGTAAAGGTGTGGTTATAGGTGCGGATGCTTGGGGCGCTGTTGGGTTAATGAAGACAGTGAAATGGTGACTTAATGTAAAGGAGAGTGAAAACCATAGTTTAGTGGGTTGAAGTTGTTTGTTTAAAAAAGGGGGGAATATATTAGCTTTTGCTAGAAGTAATTTAATTGTATTTGAAGCCTGAAAATTGTGTTTTTAAGTGAAGTGAGACAAGCAGCAGAGTAGATCAGTCAGATATTAGCCATTTCAGTGTATCAAAAGCAGCTCAGATGGTGCCTGCTGCAGTTGTGCACTGTGTTGTTTTAGTGTGTGGCCATCCATTTCCAGGATGTCTGTCAGGCTGGAGGCTCCAGCTTGGGGGAACACTGGGGCATTGGTCTCTCTGACTGATTTACTTTGCCAGCTGCACTAAAGAACCAAGGTGTGACAGGGTCTTTTAAGAGAATTAGAAGTGAGATAGGAACTTGGTTTGGCTAGATACTATACTGTTTAATTTCTGAGTAAAAAAGTTCGCTGTTGAACTTAATTTTATATCCATTGGACAGGACGATGACTGCTTCCGATGGAACAAACTGCCCTGTGGGATGACTTGCCTCAATGGAGCTCCCCTGCATGTAATCAGCATCAAACCTTCCACAATGTGGTTTGGGGAAAGGAGAAAGAAAACTAGTGTAATAGTGAGGTGAGCATTTGGGCCACACAGAAAGCTGTTGTTTCAGGTTTGTATCTTGCCTGATACATGTATAATTGAATCTCTGAATGGTCTTTAAGAATAGGTTATGCTGGTCTGTTGACCACGGATGAAGAGCAGTTACCTAATTTCTGTGCTGCTTCTGTTTTTTTAGGACTGGGGAGAGAACGTACAGAGCTTGTTTCTCTTTCCACTCTTCGTACAGCGAGGTTTGTATACTTGTAGTGCTGAATATATATATATGTAAGAAAATGTAAAAGAGTTTTGATTATTCTGGAGTGGATGACATGACTTGCCATATTAAGAAAAATCTTGTCAGTAATAAACTGTAAGTAGATAGGAAGTTCTGAATGCTGAAGACAGAGAAAGTTGTTTTAATATAGCTGCAGAGGAACTTGTTAAAGTAGGGCAGGATTACAAGCCTATTTCCTGAGTCTCTGTTCTCAATGTATAGGTCACTCCTACAATTGTTTTGACTGCCTTTCTATTTTAGATTATTGTGTAACTATGCAATGCTTAAACCATGGAGTTTTAGTTTACAATACGTTGTTTATCTGCTCTGACTCAGATTTGGGTGGGTTTGCCTTCTTTTCTCAGCCCACACATTTAAACCAAATTTTCTCACATCCTGTCTGCTGCTCTTGCCCCTTTTCCTGTGTTAAAAGGCTAAAAGGAAATTGGTCACGGCAGCATCCTCCCCACAATCACACTTTCATTTAACATGACTTGATACACCTCTAAAAGAACTTTCTCCTAAGAAACTGAACTGAAACTGGATCAGTGCTAACAATGAACTGTCACAAAGTCTTGCACTACAAAATGGGAGGGAGGCAGTATTGTTTTTAAGATCCTGATTAAGTTGAAATTTGCTCTGCCACGCAGAATTTTAAATGGACGTCCCAGTGTGGAATTTGCTGGTGGAATATGGGGGTAATGTTAGAATATGGGGGTATGTTAGAGTCTAACACTCCCACCTGCACGTACAAAAATAGATGCGTCCTTGTCTTGGTTTGAGACAATATAAAGGAGAACACTCTGGAACAAGTTGTCTCCCTTTACAGGTTCAACTAAACTCTCTCCACCAATAAGGAATGAACAGTAAATGGAAGTGAAAAAATAAGTTTTCTAATAAGTGCAAGAGCAACTGGCAAAAAAATAACAGTAAATAACTGCTAGATACAAAATTGCAATAACATTATGGGTCACCCCAGGACAGTCCTGCTGTCTGTACAGATAGCAGTGTAATCTGTAACCTCCAAGTATTTACAGTGCTCAGTACTGAAAAAGCCTCAGCAGGAGTGCCCCAAACCAGACACAATTCTTCAAGTAATTTACTGGAGATCATCTAGAAGACAACAGAGTAAAGCTTGGAAAAAACTGTGTTTTGTCATAATTGGCTTTTACAGGGTACTTTAGGAGAGACTTTAGGAATATAAAGGACTGCCTGATCTGCATAACTGGAGACTTGAACTCCAGTAAGAAAAATATATGTTTGAAAAGATCAGCAGCAGTAAGTACAAGGAAGCACTGGATCACATTCTAGGTCTGCCCAGCCTTTTCTTTCAGAGACCAAGATGGTCTGTGTAGTAATTGATAATTGCAGTGAGGTGTTGGTGAGGCTGAGTTCTCAGCATCCTTTCAGGCCTGCTTCCTTGTTCCAGAGATACTCACTTTGACAGAGTCATGGGCTACATTGGTCTTTTATGTAAAGACTACTAGTAATACTTTTGGATGTGCTTGTATCAGTATTGCCTTTAAGTGACAATCTTAACTGTTGATGTAATTTGTGAAATTGCTGCGTCTTTTCTTTAATTTAGATCAAGGATTTCCTGAGCTATATCTGTCCTGTGAACGTGTATCCCAGTGTACTGCCAGTGGGTGGCACAGAGGACAAAGTTATGGAAATGTAAGTGACAATTGGCTGCTGGAGGGAGGCAATTCAAACTCTGTTCCTGTAAAGACAATTCCCCACCTGAATCCCAACCTCTCAGGCGTGCCACTGCCTTTTGCTTTACTTGTCTGATAATTCAGATTTTTTTTCTATATTCAGTCTCACAGACTGGGGCTTTCTGAAGCACATGTGTATATTGAGCTGAGTCTCAGAGTTTGTATTCTGCTTCTATCTGTGTGTAGAGGCTTTTCTGCTGTACATGTTTAAAGGTAAATATATTGAAAGGACAGATTTCTACCTTTCAGCTGCTGAAGCTCACCGATGAATCAAGGACTTTGCTCTAGGTATTGCTGCCTTTGCTTTAACATTTTTGCTGAAGTGCCTGTAAAAGGCATGGAGCAGCATACTTTAAACAAGTTAAAGGATCTACTTTTGCTCCTGAAAGCTTCTGCTGAGTTCTAAATATTAACTGTTTTCCACATTCCCTTCAGATTAAAGCCATTATGCAGGTCATACAGGAGAATCATGGAACCCAGGTACAAGCCCTTAGGAACACTGAAGAGAGCCCTCAAGAGAGAATTATCTGATACAGGTAAAGGTACTGCACCTTAAATGGAAGTTTGAGACTAAGCAGAGGTGCCAAAAGCTTTGGTGTTCACCACAGTCTGTGTGTCCAAAGCAACAGCTGGAAAGGAGAAATAGAAATTATGTGAACCTAGGTATAGGAGGGTGAGAGAGCACTAATTATGTAAAAACACACTTGTTTGCAGTCTTAAAACGTACTTAATGCTCAACAGCTCTGTAAGTTTTCAGATGGAGTGCCTTTCCTCAATCCTAGAGCAGCCCTAGGAAAGCTTGTTCTAACTGTCTCTGTGAGGCATTGTGCTAGACAAGGCAAGGCAAATACTGTCAGTATCATCCTGCAAAATCTCCAGCTAGAATAAAGAACATTTTCCTCAATTTATACTTAATGAATTTTTATTAAAACTTTGCTCTCAACAAGATTTTATCAGAGATGTGAACTTTTCTTAGTGATTTTCTCTTTGTTTCTTGCCAGATGAAGATGATCTCTTTGATTCAGAATTAATTTCTACAAAGCCCAAGATTCCAAAAGAGCAGAGAGGAGAGAGCAAGCCCTCCAGCACAGGACAGTCTGAAAATGCTGAAGGAAACATTAATGAGAGCACAGAAACTTACAAAGGGACCACAAACTACACCTCCCTCAAGGTAGACTTCGTGGACTGTGAGGAATCAAATGATGATGATGATGAAGATGATGAAGAAGAATCTGAAAAAAATACAGTTCAATTTCTTTCCCATGAGCCAGCTGCCACTTCCAAAGCCAATTGCAATGGAGTAACTAGTGACCAGCAGGAGTCTAATGCCAATGTCCCTTGCTGGGATGAATTTTTTACGGGTAATAAACTAGAAGAAAGCTCTGAAAACGAGGACAACATCCCATCTTCAGCAGATGCTGGTGGGTCCCAGTCACTCTTCAGTGATTCAGATGGAGTAAGTGACTCAACACACATCTCCTCCCAAAATTCTTCTCAGTCAACACACATATCAGAGCAGGGGAGCCAGGGCTGGGATAGCCAAATGGACACAGTGCTCATCACCTCCCAGGAGAGATATGCCCTGGACCTCAGCAAAGGTGGGAGCAGAGCAGTGGTTCCTCTGCTGCAGGAGAGTCCCAGTGACACTCAGCTGGACAGCAGCAGGGAGAAGCCAACAAGTCAGAACAGACCTTGTGCCCACGATGGTGCCTGTGACTTGAAAAGCAATGGCTGTGAGAAAGCTGCAGAAGATGGCACTGCCCACGTTCAGGATGTCCTGGTGGAAATAAGTGACAGCTCCAGGACTCCTGATCTGGAGCTGAGGAGGGACTCGCAGAGCTCCTCTGACTTTGAAATTCCCTTGACTCCTGACGCGGAAGCGCCTCAGCCAGATAAACTGCATCATTTATACAAGAAACTCGCAGCAGGTGAAAACATAATCAGTGAGAAAAAAGTCTCCTGAGAATAGGTATAATGATTATTATCAGTGGTAATGCCCAGCATGTCTATTAATACCTGAATTTTTTTTCTCTTTCCTGTGGGTTACTGTCTGCAGCTATGCTGAGTCATGCTTTATTCAGAAACATCTTACTGTCAGAACTAGGAAGTTGCAGCCTGTGTACCTTTATTATTTCTTCGATGAAATACTGGAAAGGAAATATTCAGAAAGTATTCCCAGGAGAGACAGTAAAAACCTTCTACCTCCCAAGGTTCAATTCTCCAGCACTGTAAGTAGACAAAAAATGGACCAGACAAAACTAAGGGTAGGACACTAAATGAAATTTAGTGTTTATCATGAGCTCTAAGAGTTTGCCTTTGTAATGTGACCTCAGGTTTTAATAAAATAGCACACTGTTAACTGTAGGGAGGAACACCTAAGAATGACCATGCAAACAAGGCAGTTGGAATTTGGCTTTAATCACTATTACTGTTGTTTATCATTATTAAAACGATTTAATCAGTACTCACTGCAGTTATTTTTAAAAATAACTGCAGAACAGATTAGAGAATTACTGAGGTTGTAAGGGGGTTTTAATTTGTTTTAAATCAAACTGTTCATTTCAAAAAGTCTCTCTTTACACTGAGCCTTAACTCCTGAGTTAGGTACTGCAGACTGCTTTACCTTCAACTCATTGCAAACAACTTGTCATCACTTCCTCTATGTTCTGGTTTGTTCTGAATTGCTCTTCAGAAATACTTAAAATCCTGTGGTCCCCAAGTTACCAGCCCTGTCCTGCTCTGGCAGGTAACAGCCATAGAAGGTAACCTGTTATACCAGACAGGCTCTTGTACTACAAAACTTCACCTCCTCTGTAGACTTGACTGTTTTAAATCAAGATAATATTTTCTCCATGCATGTGTGCCATCATAACTCTCTGCCAAAATTCTTATCTTCCAACATGGAAATGTAATTCAGGTTTTTCCTAAACTGGAGTGCCTAAGAAATACCCAAACAACAGAAGTCATCTAAAACTTCCTGAGATTTTCCATCCATGGTCTTTAAGTCCCAATGAATTAAACATACTTTAGCACATCATCTCTCCCCTCTGAGTGTGCCTTCAGTTGTTGTGCCATGTTTAGTGACGTGTGAATGTTCAACCACTATTCTGCCAAAGGGAACAGAGACAGGAGGGACAAAGCATTGCCATAATCTATATTCAAGATCCACGTATTCCTCTACTGTTACCTTTTCTGCTGTTTGTGCGATTTGTTAACCTCATTTCCAAATGTGATCTACTAACTTTGGGTTTTTTTTAGCAAGCCTGAGTGAGTGGAACTGCTGTTGGAACTACCTCTGTTAATAAAGTCAGACAAAACAGAACCTCTTCTGTTGACTCATTTCATATCTGAAAACTGTGCATTTAAGTCCAGGGCTGCCTTTAACAGGATGCTCAAATATACAAGAATCAAGTCTGTTCAGGCAAGTGTAAATTTATACCAGTTCTCACCAGCCCTAAACTGAAAACACATCATTTCCTCATGGTCCCTCTGCTGGAGTCTTTACAGTCCTAGAAAATTTGGGTGCAGGCCAGGAATTAAGAGGTTGCAGTCTTAAAGCAAATTCTACTGCTACAACTAATTTTGACAGGCTAATTTTTTAAAAATGACAACAACAAAAGAAAAACTAAATTTAATTTATTTTATCAAAAACTATAGGAAGATAGCAATACTAGAGATGACACAGTATGAAAAGAAAATGTTCCTGAGCTTACAAACTGCATATTCTAATACAGTTTCTAAAACATACATTAAAAATAACCAAAAGATTGACTTAACTTGGAGATTAAATACATAGACAATAGCTTTTCTTACAGGTGATCTTGCAGCTTTAGTTTTGCTACCAAAAAGTAAAAATAAAACAAAAAAAAAAAAATGGAGGACAGGTCACAGGTCACAGGTCACCAACCCCCAAGAAGTGCATACACACGACTAAACTGGTGACCATGACAATGCCAACAGACCACAAAGCAAAACAAAGGCAGAAGCTGGGCTGGTTTTGCTTCCCTAAGAGATTGAAAACAGATTTTTTTTTTTTAATCCATTTCCAGTTTGGCAATTTTATGCCAAACTCATAAAAACAGTAAAAGGAGTTTTAAAAGTAATACAGTGTCCCATTATGCTAATTCACTGACAGTAATCCAAATACACTGAGAATATGTAAATATAAAATACTGTTCAAGGCTCTTATGTTGGAAACTGGATCCATGGGTTTCCTTCAAATAAATACAAAATACTGCTACCTCCCAAAACATAAATTATTGGTTCTTTATTTATGGCAGAAGATAACACACAGATCCTTAACAAACAGCAGCATTATTCCAGTGCTGGTGATAATATTCTCTGCCTCTGGAAAAGGCAGACACTGCACTCTAGTACAACTGCCACAACTGTTACCTTCTAAAATGCATCTACTTGCAATATTTAAATCAAAGAGACAAAGAGACAGAGCCTGGGGCCTGCCCTGTGCCCGCGGCACAGGCGGGGCTGCAGTGAGGAATCGCCTCCTGCCGCAGCCGCTCCATCCCGCAGGGACAGTGCAGGCTGCAGTGGACTGAGGAGCTGGAGACTGCAGATTGCATCCACATGGAGTGCACTGCTCATTTGAGCTACATGCAGGAGAAAGCACTAATGACTCCAAACGATGCAAGATCATCTAGAGTTTGCTGACATTAAAGCTCCACATTCCACTTAAAAAAAAAAAAAGCGTTAGATAAAAACTGACAACATTCAGCATTTATCAACTAAGTGGATACAGGTGAGCCTGATCACATTAAATACTTCTAAATCTAAGCAAACTTTCTCCAATTCATTAAACAATATAAAGTCTCTATTTCAACGTGTATCTCTGTATTGTAGATTACAAAACTCACACACAGCATTTCCAGTGGCTCATGCTCTTCACCAAAAGTGTAAAACTGATTTTGGCTAGTAGCATATAAAATGTCATTTGCTACCAAAGAGCCAGATCTTCAGTACAAATGCAACTGTGCTTCTTAAGGAACAACCTTGAAATGCTCTTTTTGAAGTGCTAGTAATTAACATGGAATTTAAGGCATTTTCTAACAAATTAGGTAAACAGTTACATGCTGGGTACTTGACTTCATTCACCTGAGCCAACAGCTGTGCACCTTATAAAGGTAACTAGCTGACCTATGATACATAGCCAGCATCCAACTATGGAGCATCCATTTATGGAGCAACATTATTCTGCCTGACCCTGTCAACATTTACATGACTGGTAAGCAATATGCAAGTTTTAAGAGCTCTGAATCCATGAGAAAAAAGCATGTAGATCATCCCTAGAGCATGGACCTTGGCTGTAACTCCACTCATCACCCACCTCAACTGCTCTTCAGTGGTGCTGAAGCCAAGCCAAACCTAGCATATGTTACAAATAGATTGAGACAACTTTAAGATGATCAGGAAAAAAAAAAAAAAAAAGATGACTCAAGCAGCTGAAGAACAGCACATTTCTCAGCCTTTACATTCAAGAACATCTTACAAATGTCTACAGCAAATGGGTATACTCACCCCTAGACTAACTTCACTGAAGTTAACATTTTTGCAACCAGAAAATACAGGCCTAGTATCTTAGAAGTCTGTCACTAGGTAAAAAAGACACAGTATGTAAAAATTTAACCAAAACCAGTTGTGAATATACATCAATCCCAGGGGTCTTTTGCACCTAACAGATAACAGCATATCTCCACAATGCATTGGCTTTGTTAGACAAGGGGCTGCTCTCCTTAACCTTTTGCTATCTATTTCCAAACTGTAGCCAGCAACTTGTTTCAGCCACAACTGCCAAATGTCTGCAATGAAAACAAACAGCGAATGTTACTTCCAACAATTTCACATTTACAAATGCTCTGTGGAACTGCAGTCCTCCTATAGAATCCTAACAAAAAATCAGAGCATAACGGAAAACATCCTACATAACATCAGCTAAGAAGTTCAAATTTTACACTTGGGATCTGTTAATACTAATTACAGAATCAATTAGGCTGGAAAAGGCTTTTGAGATCATCAAGTCCAACCTATGACCGAACACCACCTTGTCAACCAGACCATGGCACTGAATGCCACATCCATGCTTTTTCTAAACACCTTCAGGATGCTCCTCTCTGAGCAGCCCATTCCAGTGTCCAATCACCCTTTTTGTGAAGAAATTTTTCCTAATGCCCAACCTAACCAGCTTGAGGCTATGTCTCCTCGTCCTATTGCTGGTTCCTCGGGAGACTAACCCTCACCTGGCTACACCCTCCTGTCAGGGAGTTGTAGAGAATAAGGTAAGCCCTGAGCCTCCTTTTCTCCAGGTCAATGATGGAGTGGCTTGGTGAGCTCATCTACCAGCTCCCTCATCACCCTAGGATGGATCTCATCTAGTCCCATGGATTCATGAGCACCCAAGTGACTCAGCAGGTGTCTAATCACTTCTTCCTGGATTACAGGGGAACTATTCTACTCCCCATCCCCATTTACCAGCTCAGGAGGCCAGTTGTCCTAAGGACGGAACAAATGTCTTAATGTTGAAAACTGAGGCAAAGGAGGTGTTAAGTAACTCAGACTTTTTCTCATCTTTGGTAACGATATTCCCTTACTGTGTCCAATAAAGAATGGAGGTTTTCCTAGGCCCTCCTTTTGCTATTAATGTATTTAAAAACATTTTTACTATCTTTTAAAGAAGTGGTCAGGTTAAGTTTTAATTGAGCTTTGGTCTCTCTGGTTTTCTTTCTGCAATTACTTCCCTTGCGTGGAGTTCCATGAACATTTTACAATTTGCATTCCTGTGAACCTTTATTTACACACTGGCTCTCCTTAATCCCTCATCTTGTTGCCATAACTGTTACTGCTAAGATCTTCGAGCTTTTCTTTATATAACAAAAAAGCAAAAGAACGGTCAACTAAGATTTAGAATTCAAATCAAATGCCTCCTGACTTCTCAAGGTGTAGAAAACATGTAGCATCACTTCATCCCACTGGAATCAGCTCGTGAAGGCCTATGGCTGAAAGCTCACACTCAAATGTCTGTCACAATGAACATGAGCCAGCAGTGCCCTGGCAGGCAGGAGGGCCAACCCTGTCCTGGGGAGCATCAGACACAGCAGCTGGGAAAGAGAGGGGATTGTCCTGCTCTGCTCTGCCCCGAGGTGGCCTCATCTTGAGTGCTGGGGGCAGTTTTGGGCACCACAATGTAAAAAAAACACTGAACCATTAGAGAGCATTCAAAGAAGGCCACAAGGATGGTGAAGGGTCTGAAGGGAAACCTTATGAGGAGCAGCTGAGGTCACTTGGTCTGCTCAGCCTAAAGAAGATAAGACTGAGGGGAGACCTCATTGAGCTCTTCAACATCCTCACAAGGGGAAGCAGAGGGGCAGGAACCAATCTGTTCACTCTGGTGACCAGTGACAGGATTTAAGGAAACAGCCTGAAGCTGAGTCACAGGAGGTTTAGATTAGATATTAGGAAAAGGTTTTTTCACCCAGAGGGTGGTTGGGCACTGGAACAGGCTCCCCAGGAAAGTGGTCACAGCACCAAGCCTGGCAGTTCCAGATCCTTTCAGGCACTGGGTGTGACTCTTGGGGATGTCCTGTGCAGGACTAAGAGTTGGACATGATGACCCTTCCAAAGCAGCTTATTTTGTGATTCTAGGAATATTCAAATCAAGGTATGTTTTAGAGTTTTCTTGGCATACATTTTATGGCTTCCTAAACAACTGCTCTAGAAAAATTAATTTTTAATCTCCCATCATCAGTTTTGTATTGGCTTGAAACGCCACAGTCTCTATCTTTGGCCAATGCCATTTCAATTACAAATACAATACCTTGTTTTCATCCTTATTTACATTAGATGTAAGAATACTTGAATATATATGTGAAAGAAGAGACTTCTTAAAACACATTAAAAAAAGAACAAACTATTTGTGACTTTGGATACCCAAACTCAGTTGAGATAACCTCTGCAACACACGGCTCCACATTTACAGACAGTTCTGATCCTCTTTTTGGATGGGCTAAGACCTTCAGCAGAGTCTGAAGTCAGATCTATTGAACCTGCAACACAGATGAACACAAGTAAAGAAGTTCTAAAAGATACACCAAGATCGTGCCCAGTATTCATACAGCTTCTAGAGGCCTTCTAAAAGAGCTGTGTGTGAAGCTGTACTCAGATTCTACTGACACTCTTGTTACAGGTACTTGTGCAATACCTGGCATACACATCGGAATCCAGAGCTCAGACTCGAGCTTTGTACCCCCCAGGTATACACACGGATCAGCTGAGAGTGCAGGTGGCCTTCAATGTCAGTGTCATAAACAGAGAGAAAGAGGAGCTTTAAGGTTCAAGATCAATTTGGCAGTGTCGTGGTTTAAGCCCAGGTGGCAATGAAACACCACGCAGGCACTGGCTCATTTCCACCCCAGTGGAGCAGGACAGAACCAAAATTAAAACTTGTAGGTTGAGATAAGAACAGTTTTATAATTGAAACAGTAAAATATTGTAATAATGGTGATATTCTGATTATGCTGATTTAGTAGTAGTAGTAGTAGTAGCAGTAGCAAAAGAAAGAAACAAACACAAGTGATGCACATACAATTGCTTATCTACGGCTCATTAATGCCTAGAGGCCATCCCTGAACTCTGATCATCCCCTTTGGGATATCTCCCCACTTTCTAAACTGGGCATGACATTCTCTGGTGTGGAATATCCCTTTGACCAGTTCATCTATCTATGCTCCCTCCCAGTTTCATTTTTTTTACATTTTTTTATGTACCTCACTGGTAAAGCATGAGACATAAAAAAGTTTCCTTGACTTAAGAAAACCACCACTTAGCAACAACCAAAACATCAGTAAGTTACCAACATTATTCTCATACTGAATCTAACACACAGCACTGTACCAGTTATGGAGAAGAAATTATCTCAGCTGAAACAGCTGTTCCATAGGACCTATATCCACAACTGGCCTACAGACACCAGAACTCAAACCTATGGTGCCTCATGCTGCTGAGCTGTTACAACTGCCTTAGTAACTATCACTAGCAGACTGCCTAGAAAGCAGTCTACCTGAAATGCCAATTTGAATAAAGGAAACTTTTATTTACTGGCAGCCTGACCATTCCTTTGAGCATTCCTGGGAAAAAGCTTCAAAATCATTTGCTTCACCAGACAATCCAGCCATAACCCCTGATGTGCTAAGAAGCACTGAGGAAGGCAATGCACTAGAGAGGCAGGCAAAACCTTCTGTGTGTGCTCGTCTGCACTACACGTCATGAGCAATGAGTATTCTGACAGCCAGAGCTGCACTATAAAAAGCCTTGCCTGAGCTGAAACGCTACCATTCAGGCTGCAGTAAAACCCACCAGCACCCCAAAACTCCCACAAGAACCACGTTAAAATGTGCAGACCTTTCATCTGATAGTCAAAGGTTAGCTCTTCTCCAGCCTTGATGGTCCGGGTAGAGAACAGCGCTATTCGAGGAAGACGCAAGTCGAGGTTATCAATAAACACGTTGAAGACTTGAAGATTCGGATCACACTGTAAACAAAAATTAATGCAGTTTCTGGTTAGAAAAATTAACATTTAATTTCACTGACGTGTTTAAGTAAACCAAGGTCCCAGCAAAAAAAGAATGGGTTCTTGTCTCACTGACAGAAGTCTGCAATTAAGTTATTTTCTGAAATCAACAAATTGAAATGTTCCAAGAGATCATTATTCGTAGCTCAGATTCAAGTCCTTCCAGGAAGGCAACCTTTGCACAATGTGCAGACTACACTAATATGCAACAACCTATACAAAAACGTGGCACCTTCAAAGGTGACAACAAAAATGGTGACAAAACAAGTAGAGCTATATTCAGAGGCTAGTACGTACCAACAAAAGCCATAAAAAGAATTAAAGTTGAAAGAAAACTAAAAACAACCTAGTGTTTCAAGCCCCACAAACTCACTACTCTGTACTGATGCTTAAGCATTGCTTCTAGACCACAGGTAACATCTTCATACTAGGCATGAATTTCTACTGTAAATTGCAAACCTGCTTGGCTTCTGAATTCCCTACCATGGTCTGGGTGCTAGGAGGAGGGGGAGGTCACTAAGCAGGAATTAGAAACCACTTCCTCATTTTCTCTGGATTAAGTGTCAGAAGTCAGTAGTCCCTGAGACTTGAACCCTGAATGCTTTTTTGCTCTTTAACAGTGAAATATATCACACATTAAGTATCATAAGCGAAGTTACAGACATTTAACTTTTCTCAGTCAGAAGACTGAGAAATTCAGAGTAATGTTCCATCCTGCCTGGCTACAAAATAACATATAAGTTCCTGTCATCTTTGACTCCTGGCTAACTTTATTAAGGACCTGTCACATGTTAAGTATTTCAAGTACTCAAAAAACATGCCCAAACCAACCCTATTTTGATTCAATTGATTCAGTGAAAACTCTAGTCCTATAGGATGTCCACTTCAGGCAGCATCTCCCCTCTAGATTTTTGTAGCCAGTCTCAATCCAAGTAAGGCCAAGTATTCTGTTCTGTTTATTGTATCATCTGATTAACTGGACTGTGCTGGCATGAAGCAAACTACTCCAGAAAAACTGCGACTACAGTAAGGAAATGTTTACAGTAGAAGATGTTTCTAGCACAATTAGGATGATTCTCCAAATTCTTAGTATAGAAAACAAGGTCTTACACTGTGGTTCACAAAGTGGGACACATTTCCATATCGAGCAGCATCTACTGTAAATTCATCTGAATCATAGTCCAAATCAAACAAGTATGTATTTCCCTGGTTGTCATAGAACTGGCCTCGCCTCTCTGCTTCCTCACTTGTAATCACCTAAAAAAAAAAAAGAAAAAAGGAAAAAAGAAACCTGCATCATATTATTAACGATTACTAAATCAAAACAAAAATCACAATCAAGTTAGAAAAATACTTAGTAAAAAATACCAAAATAATTTTTTGATGTTGAAATAGCATCCCATCTAATGAATTAAGAATACATAAGAGTACATACAGCTGAACTAATTATTTTTTGATTGAGGCTTCTCTGGATGCAATTTGTCTATAGCTGATGCACAGCACTTCCTTGTCTCTGGGGAAGAAAACCGTATCAGCACCCTCTGTTAACAGTTTTGATGATGACAATACAATCAACTATTTTTATCTGAAGTTTCTATATACACACACTTTTCCCATTAGACTCAGAAAGCCTTGTTTACTTCACATAAAACCAAGATTCAACCTTTTTCCCTTTTCACAGATGATCAACAGGTATCAGTCTTTAAAACCCAGCCACATTTACAGTCTGATATTCATTTCCTCTCTTCCCAGAAGCATCTCTTCCTGCTATTTTTGACTGCAATGAAAGATCCTATTCATGGCATGACATCTTCACAAAGCTCAACCTATTCAATTAGGCGAGTGTGTCACTGTTGATAGATGAAGCAGCTTAAACAACTTCATCCACAGCCTGTCACATTAAACACATTCCGTTGTGCAGATTCAGCAAAGAAATCATAATTTGGCAGCAAGAGAGATACAAGGTGTGATGGAATTGGACAACAAATCCCTCTAAAATCTGACAGATGAGATTTGAGAAGCCAGTGGTAAATATTAAGTAGATTCAGGAGAAAAAGTAAATGCACACTCCCTCCTTTAACCAACAAAATTACATAACCACCTTTCTGCATTAACAGAGGTATGCAGAATGTCTGGTCTTTTGTATAGTTAAAGGAAATGGATGAACATGAGAAATCAGAAGCTTTGGGTCAGAAGTATGGAGGAAATCTACTTAAGACCATAAGCATTGTATAAACGGACAGAAGGAAATACTTTGAGTCAACATAGTAGCGAGGCAGATTTGTGTTAGAAACACAGAAACTGCTGGTGTGAGGAGCCCTGGAACGGTGCAGAAGCTGAACCACAAGAACACAGGGTAATACAAAATCTCAAGAGTAACTCAAGGTCTGTGTTTTATAAAAGTTCTCTTTGAAACAGTATGAGATTGAATAAACCAGATAATGTCCATACTGTGAATCTTATTCTTGCTGTTAATCAGAAGTAATAAATATGCTTGGAAATATTACCTTAGAAGTTCAGACAAAACAGAAAAGGGAGTGCAGGGAGTTTCATAACAAGTGTGCTTTGGGAATGGCAAAAACTACAAAAAAGATAATCAGGGAAGAATGAAGAATATGATTGCCATGAAAGAAATTGAGGACATGCCTTTAGAAATACTATTAGGGCATGTATCTAAAATAATTCTTTAGTGCCATATGAGATTAATATTCTCTTTACTTTTGACCTTTTACAACTGCTCTGGAATGAAGGAATGTTGTAGACAACATAATTTTGCTGTTGACTTGAATGTTCCTTTATTTCTCTACTCAAAAGCAGACTGATCTATTACATAGCAGAATTACAGAATATCCTGAGTTGGAAAAGTCCCACAAGGATCACAGAGTCCTAGTCCTGCCCAGGACATCCCCAGGAATCACACCAGGTGCCTGAGAGTATTATCCAAACACTCCATGATCTCTGTCAGGCTTGTTGCTGTAATCAACTTCCTAGAGAGCCTGTTCCAGTTCTGACCATCCTCTGGGTAAAGAAGTCCAGAAGTGTTAAAACTGAGAGAAAGCTCATTAAGATTTTATCTAACATTTTTTCGATTGTATGTAACCCACCTATTTGAGATAAATACATACCCACCTCTCCAACATACTCCATCACAAAACTGTTGGTTTTAATTCTCTGGAGGGTTTTTACTCCCCAGCCACGGCCGTTGTTGGTTCTGAAGATGCAGAGGGAATACGGGGTCCCTTTCTGTACAATCCTATTCAGGCAGTCAGGCCCACACCTACAATATGAATTGCACTCATAGATGGGCAAGCCAGGCTGGATTTTCAATTTCTTACGTTTATTGTAAGCCAAAATAAACCCAGCCTCCTTTGGACAGCACTTCTCAGCAGGGCAGTCAGCACATTCACAGCCAGTTGTTATTCCATTGAGCACATTTATTCCTGGAGCAGGTTTATACTCATTAATGTAGTAGAAGTCTAAAGGAGGGCCTTCAAGATCCACAGTGTTTTCTACCAGAATCATTGCTTTGTGATTCTTTTTCCTGTTGAGTTCTTCTTTCCACCTCTGCAGAGCTATTCTTTGTTTAGCCTTCTTTACAATATAATCTGCAATTGCAGGTTTCAAAGTTTTAACGTGGTTTCTCATTTTCATTGCATTACCTTCTTTCACCCGAGACAAGTATTCATTCTTGTCTCTAAGAAAGTTCTGAATAAGCAGTGGGCAGTTCAGATGTTTCCGAGGTTCCCAAGTATTTGAAGATTCTGGCCATCCTTTCCATTTCACAAGATAGTATGCTTTGCCCTTGAAACACAGAAACAGACAGAGATTTAGCCAGAGTTCATGGTGCTGAAATCCAACATCACAGAGCACACAGACAAACACGAGAGCTCTGGAATTAAGGATCAGCACACAGGGCAGAAAGCCTTGATGTCCCCATAAAAATTACAATTGGGGAAAAAGAGAAAAATCAGGGTTTTTGTTTGCAAATTAACTTATAGCACAACTTTGCATACTTTACAAATAATCTCTAGGGGCAAAGAAATTAAGAAGTTGGGATGAACTCTGATTGCTAACAGCATACCTGAAGGAGGAGGCTAGTTTGTCAAGGCAGGTGGTAAGGTATGCTAACTCGCTGTATGACTTGTATGCACAAGCAGAATGCAGTCGTATCACATACAGAACAAAAAAAATAAATCCAAAATTTAGAGAAAAAAGTCTAAAACCCACTATTGGTCATATCAACCATCCTCTCAGAACAGTAATTAATTTAATACACGTACTATTGTATTAACAATGAAGCAGCATATATTTTGCACTTATTTAAAAAGGACAAATAACTGTAACAAGGACAAATACTGAGACTGAATTTCACAGGAATCCATTTGCAGTACATTGCCCTAATTCTTCGTCAAACAGACTAAAAGAATCAAGAGAAAAATACAATGGTTGTCTGCAAATAAAGGAGAGGCATCATAATTCATACTGAGCTAACACCCTAAAGCATCAGCATCAGAAATGAAAAAGTGAAACATTTAATATTCTAACATGTCTGTAATTTCAGGGAATGATCTTCCTTCCACATACTGAAAGTAGCAGTTTACGCCACTTTCTGTTTACAGTTCAAAGTTTAAAATATATCTAATTTGATGCCAGCAAAAGCTTTGTCCTCAGTGCCTGCTGCTTTATATTATGAGCCAAACTACCTTTGGCTTGCTTCCAAATTTCAGCTGAAAGAGTGATCAAATTGGTCTGTGTTTCTCTTACCTCTTCTACCTTGTAGTCACACAAATATTCCACCTCATAACTCTTTAGACTCCTGTTGGTGATTCCAATGGATTTACATGTGAGATTTTCCTTCCTACATAATTCTTGGAGGGTCTCAAGTGAAGCTAGACATGGCACATACCAGGCTACAATAAGAAAATTGGTAAAGAATCCTATTTAATGTCTCAGCTAAATAGAAATCATTATGCCTCATCCCAGAATCCCCACATTATCATTTTTGACAGAAGTCCACGAGTCTCTTGTACAACTGCAGTGTCTCCAACTCAAGCCTTCACTAACTGGTCAAGTGAAACAAGTTAATGATTTCCCTCCCTACATTTTTATTCTGTACAGTACATACACTTATAAACAGCAACAAATATTTTGGAGAGCAGAGACTTCCACAGGTGAAAGATACACTAAGCACTGAGCAATTTTTCTACAATTATAGCACCGCATAACTGAACTACGGCAAGTAGGAAACCTCCATTCTTTAACGAGACCGCCAAATTTCTGTAGTCAAGCGCAACTGAGCACTTGCGATGCAACCATGGTGACTGGACGAGGAGATAGAGACCCAAGCCCTCATCCAGCAGGATCGCGAGTGCTTTGTCAGCCAGGCGGATTCGGAAGGACGAGACACACGGCAGGGCGCCAGGGCCCGGGAAACACCGGGATCAAGGGGCTGGACGGAGTCCAGAGCGGCAGCCGCGGGCTGCAGGGCCGTGCCCGCCTCCCCCCGGGGCTCTCCCGCCCCGGCCCCGGCCACGGCCCCGGCCCCGGCGCAGTTCAGAGCTCGGGAGGGGGCGGCGGTGCCTTTCCCGCGGCCGCACCGTGATCAGCGCCTCTCCCCGCGTCCCAGGTTTACCCCAGGCACCTCTCGCCCTCCTCCCACGGCTCCCCTGGGTGGGGCGGCGGGCAGGATCCTTAGGGAAGCGGGCAGGACCGCCAGCCCTTCCCTCCCCGCTGGGGGTCTGTGGGCAGGGACGGGGGGAAGGTCCTGACAGAGCCGGGCGACACCGCCGAGAACGAGCAGGAGCCTCCTCGCCCGTCCTGCCCCCCAGTTCCCCCAGCGCCCGGAGCAGGGCGGGCAGAGCCCGGGGAGCAGCAGAGGCCCGGGCCGCGCCGTCCCCAGCCCGCTCCCCCCTCACCTCCTCGCCAGCCCTCCATGTTGCGGGGGTGCCGCGCTGGCTCCGCCCCCCGCCGGAAGGGGGCGGAGCGGAGGGGGCGGCTCCGCCCGCCCTCCCCTTCCCGCCTCTGCCATGAGGGGCCCCCGGCGGGACGGAGCCGGGAGAGCGGGAACGGGGAGGAGAGCGGCTCGTTTTAAAGTCATTTCTCTTTTGTTCTTATAGAGCGCTGCAGCGCTTGGGGCAGGCGGGAGAAGCGCGAAGCAGCTTCTTTCCCCGGTCCCCTCAGTTCCGCAGAACTGAAAGAACCTCGGAGAAATGGTACCGACCCCTCTAGGGGGGGAAAAAAAAAAAAATTACACCATCATCACACCTCACTCCTCAGATGAGGTGTTTACTATTAATGTAAATTACTATTAATTTTTCACAGAATCTTTCACAGAATCACATAATCGATTAGTTTAGAAAAGGCCTCCGAGATCATCAAATCCAACCTACGACCGAACACACCCTATCAAGCAGACCATGGCACTGAGTGCCACATTCAGGCTTTCATTAAACACCTCCAGGGCTGGTGACTGCACTACCGCCCTTGGGCACCCATTCTAATGCCTAATTACCTTGAATGTGAAGAAATCCTTCCCGCTGCCCAATCCAAACCTCCCCTGTCACAGCTTACAAGTTAGCAACCTCTAATCCTGTCGGGCTCTTTCTCCCAGGCAATCACTGACATGAAGGCTCCTTTCAGGCGGCTGTTGAAGAGCTTCTCAAGTTCACTTCAAACCCCAGGTAATGGAATACAACCCTCTTCAAACCCAGACAGGTTTCAAATACCAGACAGGTATCCCTTGCTCTGTGTTCTCTAATTTTTGAGGCTCTTCTGTGACACTTTCAGTATTTTACAAGGTAACACACAGTTGTAAGCAATGAAGTGTTGTCCTTTAACTGCACTTTAGGCTGAGACCCTCATATTCCATAACCACACTTGCCTGCTTCATCTTGTTATTGGAAAAACCTGCCAGCTTAAATCCAAATGTATGACAATATAGATTTAAAACAGTGCCACACAGAATGGAGATTGCCAAGGATCTCTGTAAAAAATGTATTTTTTAATAACATATAAATAAGCACACTTAACTGTTACATTTCTCAGGTATTATCATAAAACCATTTTACAGAAAAGAACATCTCCTGAAAAAAAAAAATTCACCTGCAGAGGCCAGCACAAATGGGCTCCACCCTTCACGGTTTTGGGCAACATCAAGACCACACAGGATTCCAGTATAATTACCAGAAAGTGGATTTTCACCAGTCTCGTTCTCCATGGTTCAAAGCTATACTCCTGAAGCCACAGATGCACTGGCTGGATGGGTACAAGACCTGATTAGTCAAGGAATGATCTTTAAACTATGTAATATGCTTGTTGCTGACCACAGGCACAAGCATTTGTGCTTGGCATTTTGTAAATCAAGTGCTGATAATTCAACGATCTGCTGTTCACATGTCTTGACTAATGTTTTGGACCACACTCTTAACAGACTTGGTGGCAAATTAACTCGGTGGCATTTCACTTTAGTTTATTACAGTCCTCTAAGAATCATGAGAAACATGGCAGAGAGTCATCGCTTTGGCAGAAAAGCCAGTAAGAGACAAAAATCAAGTTAGAAAAATGTTGCCTTCCAAAACGGACTATGATGCCACTTCAACAGTGATGATTTCACACTTTCCAGTGTCTTGATCTGTGCAGGTAACGTGCAAGGACCCATCCCTAGAAAAAAGATAGAGTTATTCTTAGGATTATCTCAACACAACACTTACTATGTTATAGTATGTGCCAGAGAGGATAAACAATAGTCTTCACACAGATGAAAGGATGACCAGCACCAAAACACCCAAGGACAAACATGCTTCAACACAGATAAAACTGGTTTATGAAATTAAGTTTATTTTAGTCAGTGTTTTTATGTGCACTTCTTGCCCTTAAAGCATCTATCTTCTCTACATATGCTGGAATATATCTAGGAACACATTTAAATATTGCAATTGAATTTATTTTGTGCAGGTTTGTAAACAGAAAATGTGGTAATAATATTCAAAATATTCCCTGTGAGAACTGAGTAACAGTAACAGACTGATAAACATGTCTTGTCATAGCACAAGAACATGACTTTTGAAGTGTAAATAGTCTTTAAATTCCAAGGATCTCCTTCAACAAGGAAAGCCTTAACTGTCAAAATCCAAGAACTAAGAAACAATATTAATCCCTACTTCAGCCAGGCATATAGTCATACGAAATATTTAGGTACAAATAGATGTTCCCTACTAAGCTTCCTCTCCCTTTTCCCCCTAAATATTACTTAAATCTCCTTCCAAATAATGCTGCTTTTCCTGCATGACAGAGCTGCACTTCTAACCCCCAAAATGTTTTCCTTATCAGTGCTCAGTATAAATCACTGTATGACAAACAAGGCATTTTAGGTGAGGTCTATTAACATCTGATAGCTAACATAAGAAAATGAACTATTTTGAAACTTAAATAGCAAGTACAAGTTTCCTGTGGCATTGTTTCTCTGCTTAACAGCCCTGCCTCTGAAAGAACAGAGCCACTGTAAATTCGACAATCCTTCATACCTAAAATAGACAAAATCTCCTTCAGTTTTTCCCAAGAGTGTGAGCATTCAGCAAAACTACCCAACCCACTTGGAAGTCTGAGAATTCCGAGTCTGACTGAGATCCTGACGGCTCTCAAGCACGGTTAAACTGATTCACAGTTCAGAAGTCGCTAAAAAAAAAAAAATCTACACAATTGTATTAAGCTTTGTTTCTTTAGGCATCAATGAAAGCACCAAAGCTACTGCAGAAAACCCACATTTCTACAGAATTTACCCCTGCTAGGACTGTACAGCCCTGTGACCAATGAAATGCTGAAATTTCCCCCCAAAAAAAAATTAAGTACTCTGTAACACGAGCAAAGACTGCTTGTAAGAAGTGTGACACAGCAGGGCAAACAGCAGAACAAGTGTTTTGGGTACCTTTTCATAGTGAGAACAGTTAGTATATCATGTAGGCCATCCTCCTTTTTATCTAAATCCTGGAGTACAATCTATTAAAAAAAAAAAGAGTTTGATTATAATAGGTTCTTCAAGATCTTCAGCAGCAGTTCAAGGGAAGTGACACAACAGCTAAGATGTGAAAATTAATGCATTTTAGCTATTTGCACTACTGTTTTTGTGGTTTGGTCAGGATCTATCCCTGAGACAGCTGAAGTACCTATCACTCCCACAGTGCCTACAGAATCAGTACTGTAATTATTAGGTAATGTCCCTCCCCTATCCCCTTTAAAGGTATTTGGGCAGAATTAAGGTGGAATAACAATCTTCTAAAAATATTCAATCAATTTCAGACACATCTGCCCCTTCCCTGATGCTTTCCAAGGAAAGCACATCACAACTGTTTCAAAAAAGCTGTATTCTCTCTCTAGGTTGACTCCTTACCAACAGCTTGAAACCCTCACTTGATAGAATCATTTCATCTTACCACTGTGATAAACTGAATTCAGTATTTAATACCAAAATCCTGTCCAATCTAGGAAGATCAAAAAGTAACTGACACATTAGCAATGCCATTTTCTTCATCAGTTTTATATTTAAAATGCTCAAGGATCAGTGCACTACTGGAATAACTGGTAAAGATCTCTCATCCCAGGAGGTCTTATTACAGTAATGCCAAATGTCAAAACCTGTCAGCCATTTAGGAATTCAAAAGGGAAACTTCAGTTCAGTTTCTTTAAAGTAGTTCAGTATCTTGCATGTCCAGAAGAATAATTAAAAGACCAATACCAAAGAGATGCATGGCATTGTAATTTTCTAAAAACAAGTTTTGGTATTGGTGGAATTTGGTTTCCATTTTTTTTCCAGGTCCAGCTGATTTCCAGATGGCTGCTGTTAAGAGTGCACAGGAGTGTGCACATACTCACCTGTGCAAATTTCTCTTCTTCGTTCATGGGGCTCTTCCCCAATGACTCGTACAGCTCAAGGCACACAGAGGAAATATTTCCAGGAGCATGCAGGGTATGCTGCCTTCGAGCTGGCAGTGGTGTCCCTGATGGAAATAGCACTGTGAATTTGTCAGCCCCTGACTCGTCTACTCCCTTAAAAAAGAAAAGAAAAAAAAAATACAGTTCATGTTTTTCTCAGTGCTTCACTGAGCTGGAAGTGTTACAACAATGCTCCACAAGAAAAGAAATCTAAGCTTCATTTCCTCTGTCACATTTACCATCACAGCAAGTAAAAAACTCTGACATTCTTATAAATGAGAAATCCAGCTAATACAACATAGGAAAGATAGATTGTATCTTCCCCTTAAAAATCAGTTTTCCCTGTCAATTTTTTTGTCAATAAACATAAGTTACCATGTACTGATGATCTATAGAAAATCTGTAGAAGTAATAACAAAACAATGCTGTTTCTCTAACATCATCACATAATCAGTGCTATATATTCACTGCAGCAGTAAAACTTCCTAATATTCTAAATTTAGCCTTACCTTAAGAAGAATATCTTTGGCAGAACACTCAATGAGTGCATCTTCTTCTAACAAGGTATTCTCTTTCCCTAGCAGAATTCCTGCCTCTATGGCTGCACCAATGGGAATAACTTCATCTGGAGGAATTGAATTCAGTAATTCAACAGTTGGGAAAATATCTTTTATCAGCTGCTGTAGCTTTGGGATTCGAGCAGACCCACCACAAAGAACTACCTGGAAAACACATCATAATAATTTCAAAGCTTTAGTCTGTGAAATAAAAAACAGACAGGTCAGACCATGCAGTACAGAAATACAAACTGCTCTAAGATATTTTACCATCTGCAGTTGTTGAAATAAAAACTGATGTAACCTTTTATTGATTTCTGATACTTTGGTTTTTGAAATTAAAGGAAATATGATGTCTTTGAAAAGTTTCTTACAGCAAGAATCACCTAGATAAAGTAACACTTTGAAAATTGAAAAATTCAACACAAAAAGAACATCAGGTTGAAAGGGACCCTAGAGGTGATGTAGTCCA